CACACACACACACACACACACACCTTCTGGCTGCTGCTTTCTTTCTGATTTCCTATATCTCGTTAAAAAAAAGAGTCTCTCGGATCGTTCCTCCTTTGTCGGTGTCTGTCTCCCTCCCCACTCTTCCTCCCCCCACGTCCCTCTCTCTATTTCCCTCTTTTAAACCCCTACTATTCTGAACGTTGGGTGTGACTCCAACGTACTTTGCCCTCCTCGTATCAAGCATTCAGAGAACGTAGGGTGGGGGCAGGGGAAAGGGTAGGCAGGCTTGCCTTCTGGAACTGAAAGATACGCACGGTGGATAGAATCAGGCCCACAAACTGAGACAACAAGGATGTTAGCTGGGCGAAAGGAGTGAAGTGAAAAAGAAAAAAAAAAAAAAAAAAAGAAGCTGGGCGAAAGGAGTGAAGTAGTCAAACTATCTCCAAATAATCTCTTAGTCGCAACCACACTATGGGGGCATACTATCACCCACTTTAGACTACCAGCGGGCAAGCAAGTCTGAGTACCTCTGAGTGCTAAACTCTGGTCCCTATTGCAGGAGCAAGCAGCTTAATATAATGTCATTACAAAACATCTTTGATCGAACAAACAACTGCAACGTCAAATGACTGTTTGCTGGATGATTGGTGTAGAAGAATATATCTTAGATTCGGAGACCGATTCTCCTAACAGCAGTCACTGACAGGAGATCTGGGTATATATCACCACTTACGTCAGACTATTATGTAGGCCTGCAACTCAGGGTAACTAGCAGCAGCCAGTACAAATGCAATGCAATGTTAATTCACACAAATCACACAAACAACTATAATAATGTGGAGGGACGCTGGACCTGCTTTCCAGCAGGTGCTGCTCAGTGCTCCCCACAAATAGCTGGAGCCTTCCTGAGAGTGCTGACAGTGCTAGTGGTGTCTGCTCATACCAGCACCCCTAGCATCAGCTAGGGCTGTTTCAAAAAAAAAAAAGCGGAACAGTTGTTGCACATGTGGGTGGCATTCCTCCACATGGACTGGCCACACGGTCTAAGTGATTTTTTTTTTTTTTTTTTTTTTTTTTTTTGAACCACCACTGCCTGCAGGCCTCCGAATTTTAAGTAGTTTCCCAAAAAAAAAAAAAAAAAATTTTAAGTAGTAGACTACTGCCTGAAGTGGCAGGAGGATCCAGCGGCCTAGCTCAGTTGGTAAGGCACGCAAGTGGCATTCAGGAGGTCTTGTATGCCGTTGGTTCCCCCCAATTGGCATTAAAAGCAGTCTCTGCTGATGTTCATAGGGGGAGGGGTACTCAGGGAGGCACAGCGACTGGCCACTCAGATGATGCTCGGTCCCTCTGCTACCGGCTGTCCCCTGGCCCCGGTGCCCCCCAGAGGGGGATCCCTGAAGGCTATCAGGCCACCCAAAGGCTATGAGGCCACCCTGGGCTGAAAAGGCCACCCGATGACAGATTAGACACAAGATTGATTTTACCTGGGCTGGTTAGTCCGATGATAATACCTCAAGGCCATCGCCCTTTTGAAAAAAAAAAAAAAAAAAAGAAGTGGCAGGAGGCTGTGCCCGACGTCGATAAAATCCATCGGCAGCATTGGTGCGTTACAGGCCTCCAGATTGGTGCGTCACATGCCTCCAGACTTTTTTTTTCTTTTTTCTTTTTTTTCTTTTTTCTTTTTGGGCGACGGACTTGAGATATCATCATTGAGCTGACCGGCCCCAGGCAATTCATACATATTTGCTTTTACTCATCAAGTTCCATCATCTGGATTTGAACTCGGGTCTGTATTTCAGCAGTTCATGGGTGTACCCGCGGAGCCTTTTTGGTGCCAGTCGTGCTGCAGGTAGTGGCGGTTTAACAAATGGACTCTGCTCATTTTATTACCACACAAAAGGTGAGGCAGGCAATCCCTCCACAAACAACCCAGAAATAAACAAATGTTGTGGTGATAGGTGTTGGGGGAGATGCTCAGCGACACAAAATTGGCCACATCTAGACGGCGGTCCTGGCAGAGACCCAACCCTGTAAACTGAAGTTCGCCTCAGGCCTCTTTTTTTTTTTTTTTTTTTTGGATTTTTGCAAAGCCACACAACAAAGAAATGTTTCCAGCCGAACAGGGGGGGAAAGAGATCTTAGTAGCCCTACAGACTAAATCCGTTCGTCCTACACCTAGTGGCCTGCTATCTAATTCATCCTACTATGATCATTCTCTCACCCTAACTGACGGGGGGGGGAATCTCTGTACCAGATCCTCATTGAGCCATTTCTATACACTCCAACCACTATCCAGTGGCCCTCTGCCTGTCTGCTACGACCCAGGTAAACTCAATCTTGTGTCTAATTCGCAAAAAAAAAAAAATAAAAAAAAATTGTATCTAATCTGACACCGGGTGGCATTTTCAGCCCAGGGTGGCCACAGAGTCTAAGGCCTGGACCCCACAGGACAGAATCGTGGAAAAGACATGGAAAAGACGGCGTGGAAATACTTTTCCGAGACTCCATTGGACGAAAGGGAACGTTCAAAAACCTATTTGCGGAGGTGCGGGCGGTTTTCCGGCGCCCCACCACCTAGAAAACGCATTCTGGAAACCTGCACTTTTGCGCTTTCACATGACTTTCTGGTTGGGAAACTGGGGCGGAGGACTTTCCGTTGGAATTTTGAGCCATTTCCAGAGGGTAGGGGGGGGCGGATGCCATTGGTTGGAAACTCCTCGCCAAACTGCTGGTCCATTGATGATCTGAGCTGATATGTCCCGTGGCTCAATGGCGACGGACGCAGACATGCCCTTGTCACTCGCCACCCAGGACCGGACATCCGAAACAGGTGCGCTTGTGATGCGCTAACCTCACACCCCGTGTGCCATTCTGTACCTACTAGCGCCGATCAGAGTAGTTGGGGGTGTGGCCGAGGATTTTTGGCCGGTGGGGTTGAATCCCCCGGACGGAACGGGGGCCTCTTGTTTTGTACCGAGGCCCTTCCTGAGTTTTTGGCCGTCGTCAGGGACAAAATGGAGGGACAAGAAAATCAGCAGAGTGTTCGGAAGCGGCACGCTCTGTTCTGGTTCAAAAACTTCCTCTTGGCCGAGGATATCAAGAGCGGGACGCTAATAAGCCTACAAAAAGAAATCGAACGGGAGTCCGACAGGAAGGAGCGGAATCTACCGCTCCTTTCACACTAAGTTCACGCTAACTGTACAGGCGAGACGCTAGAGACATGGAGATTTCAGGCTTCTGGGTCGGATTCATCGAGTCCCTGCAGGTGCGGCGCTGCCTGGTTTAGACAGGGTGGGAGGAACCCAGGTTCAAAAAATTGCTGGGAGGGTGCCTGCGTTGCGGGAGAGCTCTGGGAACCTGGCCGCACCTTCGTATCCCAAGACTAGCCGTCGCCAAGAGCACGAATCCCCGTGCCGGCACCAGCGACAGCTAAACTGTGGCCGCCACGCTTCCCACATCGCAGGGTGTTCCGTACGTCCACATTGCAGTACATGTTGTCCGTCGCAGGTAAGGAGTGGGGCGAGTTCCAAAAGAGGTAAGGAGTGTAGAGATGAGCGTTGGGTCTTTAGTTGGGTTGTAGAGATGAGCGTTGGGTCCGTCGCAGTCTTTAGTTGGGTTGTAGAGATGAGCGTTGGGTCCGTCGCAGGGTGTTCCGTACGTCCACATTGCAGTACATGTTGTCCCGTCTGCGATCAGGAAGGGAGATAGCACACTGCAGCGGACCGATTAGAGGGTCGAGCACGGGCAGCTGCCCACCCTCGCATTCGTCGAGGCAAATGCTGACTCCATACAAGTCTCAATGGAACTCGCCCCACTCCTTACCTCTTTTGGAGGGCAAGCTCAGAGATCGTGATCACCAATTGGTTGTTCGGACGCAGCTGATTAGGGCCGAGTTGCGGAGAGGTCAGCCGTACATGGAAGCGTGGGCGACTGATCTCCCCAGATGTCGGTCGATCGTCATGAGAAAAAGCCAATCCCTGACCCGTATGACACGATCACGATGGGGGAGGGAAGGGAAGAGTTAGCGACGATCCCCGCGCATACACGCGACGCAGGTATCGGCGAGGGTCGGGAAGGGGAGGGGAATCCAACACACTCATGCATCCATGCAGACGGTCGATACCCAATGTTCCCCAGAATTGTGCCCGTAAGCGCCCACACATCTACTCATCCATTTATCCTGGACAGTGAGACATTCAACATCCATATACTCTCTTACCACTCAGCATGCATACAACAGAATACCCATACCTCAGTACATGGCACGCATCACACTAGGACAAAGCAGCAATGGAGATAAGAGTGAGTCCCTCACTATTCAAATTTCACACACATCTGGCTTCCCTCAGGTGCAGCCCCCAATCACTCCGAACGCCAACCAATCATAGCCACAAGGCCCTGCCACCAGCGGCGTTCGATCTCCACCACTG